GAAATGTGAGACAATATTGTTAATGAAGAACTGTGCTAACATCGATCGATTCACCGAGAGGGCAAGTACCGGGGCGTTAATTGTCGAGCGAAACTTCGCACCCGCGTCGGCATTCGGTCATCCAGGCACATGGGATTAATCGGATTAATTGGTGGAGTAGTTTGCCCAACAGCTCTTCGCTACTTTGACACATAATGGGTTATCTGCTCGTGCTGTTAAATCAACACGGGCCTAACATACGTCGAGACGATCGGGATTGTATCGGACGCGGCATCGATTCGCCGCGACATCACGTCAAGCACTGTCACTTACATCGCCTCTCGCGAGAATCAGCGACACGACACAACGTGCCTAAGCGGCGAGACTCCAGACGTAATTTACGATAATGCAATCATTGTAAATGAAATTTACCGTATAATCAATCGGATTACACGTATTGTTAAATACCACGTCATGATGATGAAAATGTATAATTACATCGTATACGTTTCTTCAAATAATATAAATTAATATTTACATAATTATATATATATATCGTATCTCTCTCGCTCGTTGAATGACGTTCGGTTGCAACATTTATTTTTGAAAAAGTAACGACGAATCGAAAACTTTAATTAATATGACATTTCTTCGTGTTAAATTAGTCTTTATTACGCTTATTTTTCATTTCATTTCTATTTATCGTAGTAAGTAAATTGTGGAATCTTTTTGCAGTTTCCTATATCTTTCCTGACTATCTTCAATTTCCTTAATTTATCCGGAATTTTAACGACTTTCCCGTAAACGGAAACGCGTTTAGCTCATCGCACATGCACGTGAAACCGTTCAATTAGCAGAATTCCTATACCATATAAATGATCGTACGACACGTAACATCGTAATTAGAGCCCGAACACTTTCTTTTAATAGTATTAATTCTCGAACGATAGCTAGCTAAAGGAGTAAAAAAAAATATAATGATCTCGATTTCGACGAAATCGAAATAATGAAAGTAGAAATGGATACAAAGAATCGTGGCTTTGGAATAAAGCCTTTGATAAAAGCACGTATACACAGAAGATGCGTCTTACGTTCTTTCAGCTGCGAATGACAATTGGAGTCGCGAAAAACGCGAAGGACACCTTTACGGCGCACACGGATGTTTATTTGCTGACGACCGCTAATTGGTAATTCGTATTTAGCCGACACGTCAATCACATCAGGACGCGCGATAATACGCGCTTTGTATGACGCGCTCCCCATTATACACGCCCCAAACCGTGACGGGCCTTATTACCTAGATAACGGTAACTTAATAGCATTTCGCGGTACCGCGACAGAGACCATCAACGGCATCAACTAACCACCGTCGGAGAGCCATGGCGTACGGAAGCGAGCGGAACTCGCGGATGAATGGAGGTGCTATGTGTGCACAGCATCTCCGGTGTTTTCTCAAGTTGGGAATAGGCCGGTCATTTCGCTGCACTCTTTCGTTCACACCTTTCAATGCGTCGGCATTCTCGCGTCTCTCCCTCGGCACGTACGGTTTTCCTTTGAACAGCACATTACCGCTATAAGTCTTTTAATTGCAGCAAAATTTTGTTTGAATTTTACGGCAATATTTACCAAGTGTCGTATGCATTTTTTATCTGCATTGATTGTCATATTGTACGTGAATTCTAGAATTCTTCATCACAATTTTATTGTATAAATATTGTGGCTAAAGAGTAACGATATTGTTTAATATCACTTATCCAAGATACATAATAGAAGTTAGTGTAGTCAATTATAATTCAATGAAACGTGATTCTTCGATGCAAAAAACACTGTAGAGTAGTGAATATAAATTGACAGTGCAACACGCTTAATCAGAGAGATGATTTCTTGATTAAACGTGTGGAACAGGATTCTCCTATACATTTTCCAAAAAGATAATCGGGGTCATTACTCGCGTAAACGGTTTTTCCGAATATCTCGTAAGAACAGAAACTTGTGACGTAAAAGGGTTAAACGGGAACAAGCCGGAAAAGGGAAAACGATTATGGCGTTTACAGCTTTGCCTCGATGAGGGAGCCTCGGCCGGAAGCGCTCCAACTTCTCCCCGCCACAGCCATAATCGTTTGCGAGGAATCGCTGGTAAATTACGGTAAACGGCAGCCCGGCTTAATGCACCGTACCGAATCGCCGCGAGTATAACGCTTTGAAAGAACAGAAACGCGTCTCGCCGCGAATGCCACCTAAATGGCACGTACGATTTGCATGTCGATGCGACGTGCGTGACTGCCACCGAAGATAGAAACAATTGGAGAAAACATTTCTAAACACCGTTCACTTTATCATTAATCTTTTCAACACACCTAAATATCCACATTATTTATAATTTTACAAAAGAAGCGAGGATTAAATATATGACAGTCATGTAAAATGTAAATTAATATTTGCATCGTATGCACCGACTAACATAAATTGAATAATTCTTAATGAGATGATTTTATTAATAATTGAAATATTTAACTTATTGTCAGCATATTAAAAATCGCAGCGCTGAAAACTTCATACAATTTTATATAATTTTTTGTAGTCTTCCTTGACGCTATAAAAAAAATATAAAGTCAAATTTACAATCAAACAAAACTAATTTTTTAAAAATCGAAAACATACATGTGAGAATTTTGCACAACATGCCATTAATAATTTATATGAATTACACGGTATTTTTTAAAGCTATAAGAAAAACTGTTATTGACGTAAGGTGATAATATTAATGAAAATATAACGCGCTTGCGCCACTTGAAATACTCGGGGAATTAATACGGCCAAGCTCTCATCTTCCTCGAATCTGCATAAGAATGCGGTACTTCGAGGCGAAATAGGATTGGGTCTCTTAAGCCTCCAAAATAACTTCACAATGCGGGAGAGAGAATCTCCGGAAGACTTTCGGAAATCCCTCTGGAAGTCTACGGTCCCTGGCTCACGATTCATTTGTTGATTTTTCTCCGGGAACTTTCTCCTCGGCCGATGATAAATTACAGAAGTTTAATTGGTGGCAAAGTTTAACGCGACCGCGCGTCATCTGTAATCATGTTGTTACACTTTGTGTGACGTGAAATATATATCCCCGAAAGTTCCCCGGATGAAAATTTACAACGCGCGCGGTGCCATTTGGTGCGACGCGGGAATCATAATGGCGTTTAAGGGTTTACTGCATTATACCCGCTACGCGCGCGATTTGCGCGCTCGTTGCCATTATTACATTCATTTTGATATTGATTCCACCGGACATCCTAGTCAGCCGATAATCAGATTACGTGCCACGTATGCAAATGAATCTCGCACAATCGTGTAACAGCTCTTCTCGGATGCGATGTTTTAAAGCCCCCCGAGCCAAATGAACCGCAAGTTTATCGCTTCACCAGCGTCACGCTACGCCCTATGAATATAAAGGAGAAAATTACGTTGCAAACACGACAAAAGACATATATATCCATATGCAGAAGATACTCCGCCGCGTAATTGTTTCGCTTGACATTTTTTCTTTTAATTTAATCTCTCGCCTCGCATATTAAATCGATGACGCGCGCGCATTCAATTTCGTTGATTCACTAGCCGGGCGCGCAGAACAAATTCAGAAATTACCCCATTCTAGTGCCGGGATATAAAAAAAAACTTCCCCGCGACTGCCGGCGAAGCATGAATAAAAAATTATAAATTCATCATCTACACTTCACCCTTGCGAAAGAGTGGGGCGAAAGTGCGGGACGAGAATTAATTCTAAAACAAATCAAATTTTGAAGCTGCCGATAAGAACAAAGATAAAGACTAAAGAACAGACAAAGACTTCGCACGAAGTCTATTATGGAGAGAAGTATCGATCTTCTTGAATATCAATTTTCTTAAATATCATATTCTTCTTTGCGAAAGAAAACTCCACAGAGATGCGTTGAAAGTATCACAAAGGACTCGTGATTTTCTCGGCTGAGCTGCGTGATACGCGTCTGAACGTGCGACGTGCTCCATAAAGTGCTTCAACGTAGAGCTCTCGAGGGTGGAAGGTTAAAGTTCTTCGAGGTCTCTCTCTCTCTTTATAGTCCGGCTTGTCCCGTATTAATGTATGTGGAATCACACGCGCGTATTAAGGCGCTTTAAACACGCACACACTTTTACTTGTATTACGTACTAACAACGGGTAATGTATAAAGGGTCTGGATTTTATACAACTGGAATAACTACTTTTGATGGAGTGGTCCAGCGTCTCTGGAGAATTCTCTTCCCGAAAGATAATGCGTTAGCTGTTTTAGTAGAACAAATTATTCGGTCGTAAATATGTGAAGAATTTAGAAACAGCCATTTTAAAAAAGTTCATCTTTTAAAAGTTATCATTTAAAAGTACTTTACGCTCAAAAATTTATCTCACAATTAATTTAAAGCAATTAAACATTGACTGTGCATTCAAAATACGCATGCTGCCTTATTCCTATTTACACATTCTTCTCTTTTTCCTTTTTATTTTTACGTTTAAATTAATTAGCTAAAATGGATTCTCTTTCCGAGAAACATGAAAAACATTACTTCCTCACATATTTCGTTCCTTGAAAATAACTCGTTGAAAAATGGCAAAGTCGACATTTTAGTGAACTGCAATTCACTGCCGCAATATCTTGTAAGATCGCCGATACGATATCGGCTCCAAGTTCACGGAATAATGCTTTTTGTTTCAATGCGATATCGTTATATCGATTCGCGATCAAAGTGAAAAGTCCGAGTCGAGTCCTACACGAGACGCGATAGTTATTCGCCACGCGAGCACGTTCGCGTTTAATTGCGTTTGCAAACGCACCCTCGGGCGAGTCAGCCCGACGAGACATTTTGACGGACGGACGAGCGACGTAAAGGACAGTTCTCGCATGTACGACGGTTACTTCTACCTTGCATGTGCAAGAAAGAAACCTTGACGTCACGGCGGTAAAGGTCGAAGTGCCATCTTTGATCTTCGCTTTACTGGCGGGCCTATTTTCTCTCCGCTCCTTCTTCGCTCGATGGATCGAAAACGAAATTTTCGCTGCGGACCATCGCCGTATACTTTCACACTCAGATACGACGCATTTGCAAGAAGATAAAAGTATATTATAGATAATACTGTAAATTTATCAAATATTTGTATCTGATGACGTAATTTGTTACAGCCATTCTTCCAGTTTCACTAATGCAATCCGTTAATAGACCATGTAGAGTAATTTTGATACAGCATAAATGTTGATACAACAATTGTTGTTACAATACCATGAGTGCAACACAATAGCTCGATTACTCTCGTAACAGAATATCGGCAATTTAATGCTTCGCAGTAATAAGCTTCATTTGGAGAACGAATTTCAAGATATTTAACGCAGAACAATTGGACAATTAAGCAAATGAACTTTATATCAAATTCCTGTTATATAGTAACATGGGCCGGAATTAATTGCAAACTGGAAAGTCGCTTTCAAATTCAATTAAAAAAGTCGGGAGCAAATGTACAAGCGTTTGCGGACGCGCGTGATTCGAGCGAAATTTCTGTTATGGCACAAATCGATTCTTCTGCAACGTATGTACATAAACAATTTAGAAACCATGTTATCCCCATATTATATTCAAGGCGTGTTTACGAACACGCGATGTTGCAATCAAATGAAATCGGTAATTAATTGTCTACGCCGTTAGTAGGCTTAGCTCTCCGTCCGATGGATTGACGTTCGTTTAATTAAACGCCGTGGATTGTCTTCGCCTGCAGGTAGGCATTTAAGTCCGCGAAGCGAAGGAGTGTGAGCTCGCTCGATGGAGTGCTAATTTCTGCCTCGCCGCCGCCGTCGAGACGTAAAGTCGCGTTTGCGAAATACCGTGAATAATACCACATTCGTATGTTCGCCGAGCTCACGAGCTCCGCGATTACCCGATATACCCCGAGATCGAAATCAATAATCAATAATCTCGCCGCACGCATCGCGCGATATAAACGCGTATTCCCCGTTCTCTCGGTAAATATTTGATTGTAAATCGCGATAAATGAAAAATATGTCGTATGAAATTTGAGGATAAACGCGGCAGAAACGCGAGAGATGCGCAACGCGAAGCGAATTGTATCTGAACCAACAGTCGAGAGAGATGCGAATAAGCAGATAAAATTATTCGGCTGACTGTCGTCGGAAAATTCCTCGACCCGAATCCTCGCCGTCCTAAATTCGACGTGTTATTTCTGCTGCGCGATGAGTGCACCGCGAAAACCGTTGCAATCGAGCGTAAAAGCGAATTAAATAAGAATTCCCATCGGTCGAAACTTATTGAAGCTTGAAAACTTATTGAAACTGTATTCCATAATCCTGCATTAATATTACAAATTATTGTAACAGATGTACATTTTATAACAGGTATACTGATAATTTATTATCTTGTACGTAATCTTAAAAATGAGAGAAAAAAGAAAAGAGGGAAAAAAGAAAGAGAAGAAGAAAAGTGTGTGTTCACGATTTATTTCGACGATTAAAAGCAAAGTAATTAAAAAAAATTTAACTAAATAAGTTTATCGATTAAATAAATAAGAATCTAAGTTCTCCAATCACTTTTCGCTCATTGCGATGCAACCTTGGGGATTTCCAGAGTAACGGCAAGCCGTCGAATGATTTGCGAGCCGCCCGTACCCGTACCTACCTTTCCTCGCTTCGTTTTATTCGTCTCTTCACGGAGAAGCGCGAGAAATCGCGTCGCTGCGCCGCGCATAAGCGCGCGATGCGTTTTGATATTCGATACGCGACGGCGCGGCGGGATCGCATATTTCGCCGAACGCGGAATAAGTCGACCCCGCGGCCTCGCGCGAACCAGACGAGGAAGGCTTATATGCAAAAAGGCGTGGTTGTGGATGCAAGGCGCACGGCTTATAGGTATAACACAGCCGCATTCCGAGGCATCTCGACACGGCCGCGCGCGTACGTTCCCTATTTTAAGACAAGCCCGAGGCTTGCCCTGCACCTCGTCACGCTTTTACCCACGGTCGCGCATCTCACCCGAATGATTCGCGGAAATTATGCCGGGGAAACTTCCTGCTTGCGTAACGAACTAAACGCACCGCGCCGTCTTCCGTTTTCTTTGTTTTTGTTTACGGGAAATCGAACGCCGTTGAAGACGGCGCTGTGTTCGATCCCGCCGAGTTTAGCTTCTCGATGTTATGACGGGGCGACTCAATAAACTGAAATATTTTCGGAATTTAGAATATGACAAAAATATAACCGGAGAAGCTCTATACGACACGTGGTGCCCAGACGAGCGAGGAAAACCCGAGGGAAACTTGATGCTAGAAATCACGCGCGAGTACGTTGATAAGGACGGAATGAAAAATTCATAGCAAGATAATGCGTCAACCTGTAATCAGGTTTTAACCTGAACGCAAAATGAATTATGCCATCATCGTATATACATAATCCGCTTCTTATCTCTTCCGACGAGCGCAGAATGTAGCTCGAACGTAATCACAGTGCCATTAATTATATTTATTCCGTGTTCGGAAAATTTAATGGAAAATGTCAAACTTGTTGAAAATATATATTATACATTTTTCTTTTTTTTAACCTTTTTTTAACCTTTTTTTATAATTATGTAATTTCAGAATTTTTTTAACAATCTGTACAAAAACTTGAATTCTCTAAATTAAATATTTGTATAAATATTTGTATTTAAAAAGTAATTTTTCTAGAATTGAAATTAAATAATTTAAAGAACCAGAAAGAAAAAAAGAGAGAAAGGGTTCAGATATCCTTGTAGAAAAATATATCTTGAAATTAATTTATATATCTACCTAATTAAATATTAGTTTCTGTCAAGTATTATCAAATGTTGTAAACTATAAATGGAGAAAATATCAAGTAAAGCTAAATAAAAAATTTCAGAGAAAAAGATGCAGAGTGAAATCAATTATAATTAAATTAATAACAGCTGCAGATATATCTCGGGAAACGCATTCGCACACAAGCGACTCCTAATTGGAGATGTAAAATACGCGTCCGTGTCGATTATTCGCGAGTCTATAAGCCATAAACGATTCAATTGTTTCTATTATGATTCTGGCGAAATGAAATATTGGAATTCTCCCCGAAATTCATTAACGCTTTATAAGTTGTGTGAATTTTATTACGTATTTGTTAAATAGTGAAATGCACGTTCACGCATCCATGACTCTTACTTCGCTAAATCCACGTTGAATATCGAAAAGTCGCATGCAACGTTGTATGCTTCGATTTTAACGTAATATCTACGTTATTTCGTTTTACAGTTATCCTAGCTGGAAGAAATGTGATAAAACGGCTCGTATTCCCCCCGCGTCGTTACTTTTACGCACATATTTTATTTTGATCTCACGTTTACGCGAAACGCGTTCTCGCTAGTTAAATAAAACTTAGAAGACCAGACGGCCGTAATGTACGCAATGTTAATATTATTGCCAATGTCAACATATAACTTGTGTTAGATCAAGTTTTAAGCGTTTCGATAATCAATAAAGCGGCTTTAATAATAGAATCGATTTGACGTCGACGTCTGGTCAACGACAGATTTTACTACTGCGCAAATCCGAAATTCTTTTTTTAGCTGTCATTGTCCATCATCGTGTAATAACTATTTACAATTTCCATTTACAATTCCCTATTTACAATTGTTATTACCGCATCGCTGAGGATGGCTCAAAGAGGAACCGAAACGTCTGATTTATAATTATGTATCTTAGTAGTTATTATGGACCGATATAACGTTAACTTACACACCGTCAACCGCGTTCAACTCTTAAAGCTCCTTTTCACTTGTTAATAACTGTTTACATTCAAAATTCATCATTTCGAATCTGCTCTGCACTTCCAAGTTGTATCAGCATAAAGGTTAACATTTAATACGCGTGTGTTTCCTATTTAAAAAAATATTATGCCTATATAGTTTTCATATCTCTTTCAGATGCCTTGTTCAAAGAATTATTGTTCTATTAACACCCTTAAGAAAATGTACAATACAAATACAAAAAAATTACAATATACTGCATTAATATATTCGCGTTTTCATCATAATAATTAATACAATTATTCTTTTTCAAATGAAAAGGTAATAAATGTATAATTTTTAAAATACATTTATTATACAGCTCTTTTGTAGATATACTTTTGTTATCATTTTTCAATTTTCCCGTGCACGTGCATTTTGCTGAAAATAAATTAACCTTTAATTAACTTCGCGATTTATTAACGGTGAATATCTACCGGTGTCGTTCGCATTATAGATGCGATTTAATGGACCGTCCGTTTTAACAAACTCGATACGTCTGCCTTATCTGGGATTTATTAGTCGGTACTGTCAGTAGGTAGTAGTGCTCTCGCGCACAAGGGCACAGACATCGCCCTTCTCCGAAGATTCATCAGTCCGCGCTCGTATTACCGTAGATCAATCAACTTTTACGATCCATCCGTCTTTCGGCTCTTATTTGCGATGCGCACGCGGGTGCTCTCGATCATGTCGATCTCGCAATATCAAGCGTAATATACCCTGCGCGTCGAATGTCAAAGAAGATCCCCGGGCACGGGGGAATTTTAATCATTAATGCAAATCGTGCCACTTTCATTTAAACTAGCGAAATTAAAAAAGGCTTTCACACATATACCTCTCGCGATATAAAATTCACCTGTTAAAATATCTCGTGTGCCTCTCCGTGATTAATACCGCAATCTATATTTTATTAAACGTATTTCACTTCTATGCAGCTCTTACTTAAGATATTACGACGCGTAAATCTAAATCCGTTTTTAATTAAAAAATTTTTTAATTAAAAAAAGGTGTATAATATTGAATAGAGAAAATATCCGTAGACTAGGAGAACAGAGAAATATTCAAGGACGCGCCGCACGGCTGTTTTGCGTGATAAGACTTCACGTATAGCGTCGAGAGATTGATTGTTTATCTTCGCCGTCGCGCTTCAAAGGGGAAACTGATCGATACGTTATTCCGCGATCTGCCCCCGATATTTCGGTGCACGGTTATAATCAATATTTTACTCCCGACAAATTGTTTACTCCTAATTTTCCGATAATTGTCCCTCGTAAATTTTCCATACTTTCTACATCGCTTCATAATTAATTTCCACGCCGCATCCTTTGATCTCCGACGTTCAACGCGGCAAATTAAGCTATCAATGGATGCTTTATTGACTAGGAACTTCATATCAATAGAGGATATTTCAATAGCAATTGCGATATGGCTTTATCATTATTATGGCTTGTTTATCCCCTATCTCTCATTCGGCTTTATAATAAATGAATTCGCAACGATTGCACCATATAAATGTAAATAAATATTAACGCGTTGTGTATTACCTAGAAACGCTCTAAATGAGAAATTAATAATTCATAATCAATTATTCATTTAATCTTCACAATTCCTCTTTTGAAATTTTGTCGGCTAACCGAAAAACTAAATAACGAATAATCAGTAATGATCATCAATATTATATCAGCTTGACTTGCACATCGAAAAATATTAAAATTTATTTATCTTTGCCACGATATTATATAAAATATTATATATCTGTTCATTTGATATTTATTTGATATTGAAAAGAGATCTATTGCAAAATCGGAGAATATTGAAGAAGCTCGTGAGAGTAAGAAGACAGACGCGACATGTATGCAACACCCTGTATGCGTACAGCGACGAAATCTCCAGCGTCGCATATACTCGTTGAATAACTGTTCCCCCCCGGCTAATCAATCTTCGAGGTCGGATCGCGTTTTTGTTATCTACATGCGGCGATCGACGATCGATGCACGCGCCGTGCATCGACGCTTAATCACAATGACATGGGGAACGCGGGGGCTCTTTCGCATTACTCCCGGAGTAGCGAACGCGGCGCGGGTCGATCGGGGCCGCTATTGGACAACAATGTAACTGGAAACAGCGGCATATTGCTGCTTAATAGATAGGATTATCGCAGCCGCTTAATCATCAGTCGCGGCACTACAGTCGCTGATGGCCTGTCCGACACAACGGCCTGTTGGCATTTCGATCGAACATGCCGCGGAAGCACCTCATTGGCGATCCTGCCCACGTAATATCGGCATTAAGGCACGGGAGAGGATTCATGCTGGTCTAGTGTCGGATAAAAGTACCGTAGACCGTGCGGGAAATTTTCCGCTATCAACGGTAACGGCGTCCTCGACGATCTCCGCGTGTCTCGCGCAATTTTGTCCCCTCACGGAGATATGAAATTTATCAGGGCTTTCTTATTGAACGCGTCACATTTGACACGTTACTTTATACGCATATGCAAGAATCTGCGCTGTCGGTTTTATTAAAGAAAGATTAACAATGCAGGCAAAACGGTGCGTCGCGTGAATTCTCAGCGTGCGATTAGCTAATATCATCTTAATTAACTCACCAGATATTGAGGAACTTCTCCCGAACTTTCCGCTTCATGCTATCGCTCTTCCGACGATGCTGCAATCTGCGGCAGGAATCCGTATAGATGGGCTCCGGAAGCTTGTAGAGACCTACGGAAGGTGGAGATATCTAGATTAAGCTTTTGGAAACTTTCAAGTTTTTGCGGCGGGACGGTGTGCGGTGCAACAAAAGGGCCCTGAAGGAACATCGAAGATGGAACGCGGGATGCCGGAGCAATTTTTCGCAAACTCTGCGTCATTTCACGTCGTAACGAGATTTTATAAGAAGAGTTTCATACGCTGTGAGTTGCCTATACGTGCCGTGTCCCAGTTTTACCGGCTCTTTCCCCTTTATCGGCAGATTCTTAGAAAATTTTCTATTCTTCTCTTAGCAGAAATTTTAGCAAAAGGGTTAAATTACATATAAAAGTGCGAATTACGAAGTTTTCTGAATTAAGTTTCGGCGATAAGTAAACCCGATTTAACTTCAATCAAGAAGGGAGAAAAAAAGAAGCTTGACTTTAAGTAATTAGTGATGTAACGGTCGAGCGCCTCGGGACTTTTGTTCGTCCACGTGCGAACCATCCTCTATACATAAGCCGAAGCTCAACTAGAAATTGAAGATAGGAATAGCTTGAACGGCTCCTTTCGCGTGTCCCCACAAATATTTATTCAGCGGCTGCGATCGGAGCATGCCGCTGTTTATCCGCTCGTATATCCGTCGCTAGCCTCAGACCGAGCGGCATCGTAAAATCTCTGGCGAAACTTTTATATCTGACCGAGATGACCGATCCATCTCAACGTAAAGTTCGATCCACATCCAATATCGCAGCATAGGAAATAAAATCTCAAAGAGAAAATTGTTATCGCGACAATTGCGTTGAACGAGTAAAGGCGAGATACACGTTTCGAGATTAATCTCCAGTTTCTACGATAAACCAGAGATACTTCATGAAAATGTCAGAAGGAAGCGCTTTAGATTATTGCCTCTTCGTTATTTCAATTCGTGTATTACCTTTCCCTTGCTATTTTTATTTAGTACATTATGACGAAGATTGCAGAAATCTCTTTCGACTTCATTACGCAATAAAATTGCGCAATAGTAATTGTTTTAACGAGCGTGATTATCGTAACTATTAATTCTACTGTGTTCAGGATTTGTCTAAATAGCGATAACTTTTTCAATCCGCTGAGAGGATTGCCGCGTTGCGTGACAATCCAATTTCCAAACGCTTCCGAGTTGTCGAGGACTGTCGAGGGCAAAGGATTTGTGAGCAATTTAGACTGCACGCGCTTGTATTAAACAAAAACGCTAGAGGATTTTCAGCTTCGGTTTTATATTCTTGATAAAATTATTATCGAGAATTTTCCACCGAACATTATACAAAATATACTTTAGAAAAATATGCGATGCAAAAAACTGTTTAAAATCAATGAACGAATTTGTTACTCATTCCCATCTATCTAAACTTTTACGTCGCTAAAATTCTATTTCTGTCACTTTGAACCAGAGATTTCGCTAAACAAGAGAATACCGAGTTAAATGTGCATTCAATGAATTGAACTCGGGAGAACCAGCGAGGAACATATATACGGATTGAAAGGGAAGGGAAGCGCCCGTGGCGCTTTCCACCGCCAACGTCCATATTTATCTTCAATTTCATTTTCGTTTTACTATACAAGAGGCAACAGCATGAAAATTCCTTGTGTCCTGTATAAATTTTTGTAGAAACAATGTAGAAACAATCGCGTTTTCCGTATCAGTACACCGGTATATTGACGTCTATCCTCGAATTTAACACAAAAGAGTAATGCTACGACAATAAATAATTTCGACAGTCGCGTGCACCTCGATGCATTACGACAATGCACACTTATAAACCCACAGGTCCATTAATATATGCGATTATTCGACGAATAATGACGGCCAGCCGTACGGCCAGAGCATTTTATTTCACTAATATTCGCTATTTAATATCAAAAGTAAGATATTATCCCGAATTTCTCCGTTCCGCTGGATTATCCCTTTCATTTTTACCACCACGATCGCTGCCACGAAATCCGATTATGAAGTTCAATTATGAAGCCTATTCCGAGGAACTTTATACATGTTACTTACTTAAGCAACTTAAGAGCTGATCATTATCGTCAAAATTAGGATCGGCAATTATTAATCGAATTATAAATTATCGTCGCATTAATGAGAAGTTACAGAAAGGAATACAGTAAAAATATCTCAGCTCAGTTAATCTTCGGCACGATATTTACAGAGTGTCCCTGAAAATAGATCAGCGGCGACTTATTGTTAGGCATAACGGGGATACTCTAGATGCAGAAACGACGTACGTGGTTACTTACTAAGCCAGCTCAGCTGATCGTTGTTCTCCAATTTGTTCTTGAAACTGTCCACTTGGCGTTTGAGTTCTCGTAGGGCGAGGGAGGGTGTGGCGTATAAAGCTTCTTGATGCTCTCGCAGCTGCCGCTCTAAAGCCGCCACGCGCCTCTCTAAAGCCCAAAGTACCTCCGCCTCAATCACCCCCGAAGAAGCGGGATGAGCGCCAACGATCTTAAAAAAGCACAACCAGCTAAGTACGTAAAGCGCACGCTACGCGCGTTCATGTGGATGTTTTGCGTAAAAGAAAATTAACGCGTCGACTAAGATAATATGTCGCGCCCTGTCCTTTGATCAGGCTATGTAAATTAATTGATTTAGATGGTTAGTTTTACGTTCATTACATGTTCATTATGTTCATTTATCTTTTTTTACATTCCGAGAATATTTAAATTTTTCCCTCATGCACTGAGAGTACAAGAAAGAAAAAAACCAGTAAACATTAAGATATAAATCTATACGTACCTAACATTATTAAAAAAATTCCTTATGTATTCCATTGTCTAATGAATTTTGCATTCAAGCCGCTTCTAACGAGCATAGATCGACATCTTCATAAATATGTAAAGGTATACAAATGAAGTAGATGAAAGGTAAAATCAAAGCTTTAAATTTTCCCCAAAATCGCGATAAATTCATAATGAACTTCACCATCAACATTGATTCACGTCACGAGTGATGAAATTAATTATGATAATATTACAGCAATTGTTCACGCGTCGATTGAACGCTCATTACTCAAAGCAAGACATTATTCGCTTGAAACATGTAATTTTTACTATAATGCGAAACCTGATTAAAGAACATAATTCTTCGTGCATCGAACTTGTTCAAATATAGATAACAAGAAACTCTTGGTCTCTCTGCAGAGAAAGCACTTGTCAAAAATTATTATACTACGTAAACGTGTAATTAATTATGTAAACTAATGAAATGTTAAATATAGAATACCTGAAGAACATAAGGCGTGTCGGGCGTGTTTGCAGGTAGATGAGTCGAAATATTGAGGAGCTTGTCCCCCTTGCGAAGCTTTACGATGTCCAGAGGACCAGCCTCTGCCGCGCTTCTAAAGAGTTCTGCAAGATAAAACGTAGATGCTTTCTCGTTGAGTTGATCTCCGTTCATTCTCTCCTTCCTCCGAAGGAAGTTTGTTTACGCAGTTCCTTAAATTCACCGTCGCGTCGCTACCATTTCGCGATGCAATTCAAGACGATCGTCATTCAGCCCCTCGAATTATCCCCGTATCGAGCGGGACGAGCGCGGGCGCGATGTGCGGAAGCAAATGACGTACAAACGATATTTACGATACCCGGTTTCGATCCCCGCTATTAACTGGCCGCCGTTTACCACCATTTACTATATTACCGGAGGTGATATTAACTTTATTAAACGCCGCCCCGCTGGTGCACGGGAGATCGACGGCCATTTCCCAATTACCCCGGCTTCCCGGCAAAAAACGGGCGACGCGTACAAATGGCTCTTGGCCGCGCGACGCGTGCATAGAATCCCGTGTCTGTCTCGAGCGGCGACGTACCTACTCTTTCTGGTATATCGAGCGAGTAATGCTCGCGAGGGAAGAGCACAACGGCGCGACGTTTTGTAAGTGCATGTTTTATTCATAATCGAAACGCCGCGCTACCCACGGAGTGTAACGGCCGTGTATTACTGTGCCCCGGTAATTACGATCGACGACATAGCGCCGGAATGACGACCGTAAATGTGCCTTCTTCTCTCTCTCTCTCTCTCTCTCTCTCTCTCTCTCTCTCTCTCTCTCTCTCTCTCTCTCTCTCTCTCTCTCTCTCTCTCTCT